CTAAACAGAAAGAGATGTCTTGTTTTATACATGGTCCTGTCCCATTCATTAGAAATGAACTTTACTGAGATATAAGATCCAAAGTTTCAGCAGTAAACCATATCATTCAGTATCCTTGGCCTAGCCTAGTGGCTTAGTCAGTAAACTGAGTTGCAATACTGGAAGCCACTCAGTTGACCATAGGTTCAGATCCCCAGGTCAGCTTGAAGACTCCCTGGGTGCATGGGCACACACTCAAGATCCTGATGAACTAGAGGGTCCTGGAAAGGGGAGCACGGTGTGATAAGACCCTGTTGAGGGTACTTCTCTCTGGGTGTCTCCTGCATATGCATGTGCTCTCTATCATGAATAAAATAAAAACATAAAGAAAAAAAGCTCATTTCATTCAGTCTCCTTTTGTTAACTTCTACCATTGGTAGTGTTCAGGATCCCAGTTTCTTTCATCTTTCTACCTTGGAAACAAGACTTATAATTACTTCAGGCAAGAAATTATCCAAGTTGAAATATGGGAAAGTTGATTCCCTCAAGACTCTTGAATCTGACTTCTGTCACATACAATGGACCAAGTTTCTTTATTTAATCACTAGTGTCCAAACTGTGCTCCAATTATCCCTCAAGGTTTTGCAGATGTACCTTTGAGGACCACTACAGGGCAGAAGCTGGCAAGGCACATGAGACCCACCAGAGCTACACGCAAGATTTTATGTTATATTTTTTTCTTGGCACTTTACTATCATATTTGCTTAGTTACACACACACACACACACACACTCACGCTTTTCAAAAAAGTTCATGGGAATGTATATTAAGAAATAACTACACATAGATTTCAAAATTTCTTGCATCAAAATTCACTCATATATTAATTCCATAAGTGTTTGAAATACACTTGTATATATGTGTATCTATGTGTGTATATACATGCACATAGGCACACTCATTTTGATTTAGTGTGCTTATTTACCACACATCGATCATCTATTGATTCTGTTAAGACTCTTGAATCTTACACAGGCACATAGGCACACTCATTTCATCTGAACAATGGCCCTGGTGTCATTTTTATTTAGTAGATGAAGAAACCGAGACACAGAGAGCTTCAGCAACTAAGTGATACAGCTGCCAAGTGGCAGAGTTAGGCTTAATAATTATGGTATTCTGACCTCTGATTGGGCTTCTTGGCTTCTAAGTTATCTGGGAGTTTATTGTTCTAGGGGCTGTGCTAAGTATTTTACAACCATTCTTTTATTTATTTTTCATCACTGCCTTGTGTGGTTGAGCATCCCTATTCCGAAAATCCAAAATGCTAGCACTGACATGTCACCTCAAGAAGACAATTTTTACACCTGACCTCGCGTCATGGGTTGTAGTTAAAATACTACAATACAAAAGTATTGTGTAAAGTTTCCTTCAGAAATGTGTATTAAAAAAAAGAAAGGAAAAAAAATCAGGGCCAGTAGGTGGTGTGGTGGGTAAAGGCTCTGGATTCCTCTATAGCCAACCATAGTTCAAGTCCCGGACCTGGTGGCTTCCTTTCTCATTTTCCCTCTCTCTCTCTCACTCTCTGATCAAATTAGAAAATAACAATAATAAATAAAGTTAAATAATTCCTTAAAAAAATCTGAAATCTAAAACAATTCTGGCCCCAAACACTTCAGATAGGGGACACTCCACCTTTATTATCTTCATTCTACAGATGGAGACATCTAAGGATAAAGAATTTTTCCAAAGTCATGACGCGGCAGAGCTAGAGTCATACTTGAGCCTGCTTGACCTAAGAGCCCATGATCTTAATTCCTAAGCTCTTCATTTCTTCCTGGTTGAAACTGTGCTTTCTCCTCTGCTAGAATAAGAGCTTCTTGAGCCAGCAGGTGGCGTGGTGTCATGGGCAGCTGGATCCCACATGGCCAACTGAGCAGTTTGAGTTCTGGACCCAGCAGCTTGAGAAGCATGCCAGGCGCATGTGTGTGCATGCCCAAAATCCCAGAGGAGAATGGGGAAGGAATTGACGTGTGTCCATTACCCCTGTGGGGGTGGGTGTGCTTTACTTTCTCTCTCTCTCTGTCACTCTAGCAAGGACACACACCCTATTGCAAGTAAAAAATATAGAACGTGAGCTTCTCGAGATGCTCTGTCTTTCGGGAAACTTGGCAAGGTGCTTGACATGCCGTTCATAATAAGGGTCAGTAGGATTGGTTGGAAGTCAAGATATGAAAAAGGATGAAGATCTCAGGAGCTGAGATCAAATAACTCTGAGAATAAGTGATGACAGGCTGTTTTTGAGGATGCTGCAGATCTAGAAAAAGCTTCTGAAAAATGTCATACCAGGAGAGCAGAGGGTGCTGCAGTCATGACAAACTGCTCCAGTTAAGGTGAACAGAACAGGAGGAGTCAAAGAATGGCAATATCTTTATTTTCTTCATTTTATAAATGAGGCACAGAGAGAGGCTTAGGTAATTTGCTGGAGTTAAAGAAGTATCTCACTCTGGGAATTTTTTTTTCCCACTTGTTGAACTACTTTGTTTTTCTCACAATCATATTATCAAATTTAAGAATAAGTACTTCGCAGGGAGAGATTCAAAACTCATCTTTTTCTCTCACCTGTAACAAGGTTTTAAAAATGTAGTTTCTGTTTTATTAGTGAGCTTTGAATTTACTCATACATACATCATGTAGTTATCAACGTGGTGCACTGCTTCATTACTTGCAAATACAGAAAACCAAACACAAGGTCTTTCACCAGTTATTATGCGTAGCAGGCATCTAAGAGCCTGCCTGATTAGTTTCTTCATTTTCAGGGCTGGCCCATCTGATCTGTTTCCCAAAACTATTAGGTACAACAAACTTACAAAGGTATTTCACAAGCTTATTAGTGTGCATAAAATTGCTTTAAGCATGCATTTATTGATCCACAAGGTATCGGCACTGTATCTGACGAACATATAAGGTAGTAAAATCAGCTTTCCGTGACCTTTTATAGTTTAAAGAAGATGCTAACAGCACACAGTGACTGCAACACTCGAGACAAAGAAACTGGCGACTCTTTTCTGTTTTTGCAGCTTTCTCCTCAACTCCTGGAAATCCGAAACGCTGTCCGTTGTACTTTCGCGCCTACTGACGTTTCTCACCGCAGCCGCCCGCTGCTCTCTGAATCTCAGAAATCTCCCCCGGGTCCAGACTCCAGGATCTGCGCGTGCGCGCGAGCTCACCCAACTCGGCACCGCCTCCTTCTCCCAAAATAGAGGAGCGGGTTAGCGTCAAGGCGCGTGCGCACGCGTGGCCGAGGCGCTGGGCTGGTGGGTTACGCCAGGAGAGCGCATGGGCAGACAAACTGTGCGTCCGTTTGTCGGGGCCCGAGGGGAGAGTGGGCGCCATCTTCGTCTAGGCTCACTGAGGGTGTTCTACCTGGCTTGGGCAGGCTGCTGCGACGGGGAGCGTCCGGCTCCCGGCCTCGTGCGTCGGACTCGCCGGCTGTGGTGTGTGTTTATTGCCGAGTGCGAAGCAGTGGCCCTTGGGGCGTCGGGTCGGGGAGGATTTGGCGACCGAGACGGAGCAGGGAAAGGCGGGGCCGCCGCCGCGCCGGGATCTAGCGTAGCCTCTGTGGTTAGGGCGCCCCGTTTCCTTGCTAGACGCCGCCCTCTCTCCCCCGCCTGCCCCGTGTGGTGATGTGTGCGCGCTTCCCCGGGATCTTGAGAGTGAAGATCTCGAAGGAGCCCATAGGTATTTTTTAGGTGTGCTATGTCATCGTAGTCAGTGGTGGCAGGGAAGTCCTGAAGGCCCTGCTTGTTGGGCGTGAGAGGGACGAAAATGTTTCAGGTAGACTTGGGGGCAAGTTCATCCTGCGCAAGGTAGGGTGGAGTGTTTGCCCTTGGCCGGGCGAACCGGAAGGCACGGAGGTTGGGCGGTCCAGGTTGATGGAAGGCCGATGGTGCCTGAAGGTCTGGCGACAGCATCGAATCCACGTCACAGCTTCGGCCTGGCGCGAAAGAAGAAAGCTCTTGACCCCTGGGAGTGTGGACAAAGGCTTTGAATGGTTGAAACGATGCCTTCGGATGATTCCCTTGGAGGAGAAGGATGAGATGAGAAATCCTGTGCCATGTGGCTTCGTCTTCATTTTCAGTTCCTTTTGGGGACTGTTTTTGTGTGGTCATGTCTTTAGTTCTCATTTTTAACCATCCACGTACTAAAAGGCAGATCACCAGATGGAATAACTGGACTGGGGTAGATTATTTTCTACAGGAGAAACCCACGTTTAAAATTTAAAATGCTTCGTTGGAACTTTGGGCTTTAAGAAATAGGCAAAGAATAACAGTTTTCTCTCCCGCAGCATGTCTGGGAAAGTGACTTAAAAAAAAAATCAACTAGATCTGAGATAATACCTACTTAAATTAATTCTCCCTCCCGTTTCCCTCACAGTCTGATTAGAAGATGCACATTTCATATTGTTCAGTTGAATGGTGATTAAGTAGGGTGAATTGTTGGATAAAATCAGCAGAGTTACTTAAAATGTGCTTGTAATTTCAGTGACTTAGCCTTAAATAAGTTTTTAGGGTTCTACATCCTTTTCATGTAAGTCCTAGCAGCTAGCTGTGTCTTTAAATAAACAAGGTCACAAAAATACTTGTGGTAACTAGAAAAACTTTAAGTGCAGAGTACTTTAGGGTCACTTGTGTGTTTTGTGTAATCTAAAGTATTAACAGGATTTCTGGAGATTTTGCATAAGGAAGCATATTGGAATCACAGGAGAGGTGCTGATTTTGAGATCTGGTCACTTGTAGGTGGTCTCTTAGGTGTGTTATTGTAAGGGGATCAATGTGATACATTATTATCTGAAAGGCAAAGAAGTTTTAGCATTAATTATATTTAACTGGTAAATTAGAACCATCTTTTTTTTAAGATTTTTTTTTATTTAATTTTATTTATTCATTCATTTATTTTTTAATTTGACCAGAGAGAGACATGAGAGAGAGAGGGAGAGAGGGAGAGAGGGAGTAGGAAAGTGATAAAGCAAGCCACCAGGTCTGTGATTGGAACTATGGTTGGCCATGTGGGCGTGTCCAGCACCTTAACCACCACGCCACCTGCTGGTCCCCAGAACCATCTTTTAAAATAATCTGGTTGAACTGGAATTCATGAGATTTGTGCTCCCGAAACTACAATAATTAAAAAGTACTTTTAAAGTTAGGTTAAATTAGTCATGTTTTTTAAATTTGACTTACTAATAAATATTACTTGGAACATCTCTAATTTTTAATATGAATTTATGCTTTCAGGGCTTATTGCCTCAAAATTTTTTGAAAAAAAAAAAAAAAACTTTGGAAGAGACAAAATGATACATATCTTGTGCTGCTTTCTAAAATACTTTAAAAAAGTAGCCAAGCCAGTTTGCATAGGAGGGGGCCTTGGAACTTGAAATAAGTGTTCCAGGAGGCATTTATGGTTTTTATTGAAGTATTGATGTGGATATTAGGTTTGTTGGAGAAACTAGGCATGTACACACACACACCACACTCATTAATATTTTTAAAATGTAGAATGTGTCAAGTAATTTCTTGATATCTTTGTTTAGCTTGTAGTTTAAAAAACATAACCTGTGGGTCCTTTTTAAAGGAAAACAAACCTTGCAGAACCCAATGGTATGTCTTCTGATCCCACTTGTGGAACAGTGATATTTAAATGTAAGTAAAACAACATTATTTACACATTTAAAAATGTGTACTTACTCATTTGGCAGGTCCAAAAAACTTATTTGGTTAACCTTTATTAAATATTGTTAGTTTGGATAAGTATCTGAAAAGTATTGGATGCAAGTTTCCTTAAAAAAATACTAAGTTGAGATTTTTCTGTACTTAACACTGGTAATCACAATATTCCAAATCAGTGAATTTTTATTATAATTCTGCTTTTCTACACTGTCATTTGTGTTTCTTCTAAGTAGAGTGCAGAATAGTTTGTAATGGAATAAGGTTATTAATATAAGATTCCAATATCCATATTTATGTCAATAATTTCTCTTTCACTTGAAATGAATTTTAATAGTTCTCATATAGGGAGTGAGTAGTGTTGAGATTTTTGATTCTAGAGCTATTTTAGTATTTATCTCAGTTATATTAAAGTCATGAAATCTAGTTCAGTGTTTGGGAGTGTAAGCCAAACATGCAGAACTTAAAATTGTATCAAGATGGTAGCCATAGGTTTAGAATTATTGCATTAAAAATTGGTTTTTGATTTCAAGCTTTGTTCTATTCATATGTTGTATCATTTTGAATGGTGCCTCATGGATTTGATTTAGTCTTATGTCTTGAAAGGGAGAGTATGGCAAGAGATTGGATAGAAATGTGAACTAGATGTTTGGGTTTTCATAAGGAAAGTAAATTTTGGTATTGACATATTCTTGTAGAAGAGCTTCTTTTGTTTTTTGATGGATGTAAAACTTCAATATAACAGAATGCATAGACCTTAAGAATAGAATTTAATTTGAACCTTGACACATTTATACATCTATGTAACTACTACTGCATTCAGAACACTTAACATTTCCCTCTTTTCCTCTTGTTACTTCCAATCAAGGAGCAGTTGTTTGATTTTCAACAAGTGTTTTGTTGTTGTTGTTCTTGCTGTTGTTGTATTTGTTTGTTTGCTATAAGGCATTTATGCTCTCCAAAGAGAGGCAGATGAATACATAACTGAATTACTACACTGCAGTCCCTTCGTCTCCATTCTTCTCTTGAGATCTTGGGCTTGCATGTACATGTGCCCTGCATGTTTTTCAAGCTACTGGGTCTAGGACTCAAACCGTGGAGTAGGCCACATAGGATCCAGCACCTTAACCATTATGCTACCTGTTTGGCCTTTCAACAAGTTTTTATTTTGGAGTAATTTGCACATGTCTACTTGGATTTGCAGAAGGGTGATTTATGTCTCCTTGGAATAAAGAAGAACATTTTGCAATGTCCTAAATTGTGATTACTTATATTGTTTCACTTTTGATAGGTATTTCTGAAGTGGATATCATAGTCTGGATTAAGATAAATTACAGGGTTCAAGGATTAATTGTATTTCATTTTCTTTCCACAGTTAAGTTGCTTTTACAGAATTAACAGGTCTCCAAGAAATAAAAAAGGTAAGATATCCAGAGCTTAAGGCTTTTCACAGAGGCTTGACAAAAATATGAAAAGTAGAATAGTCCATCCAGGTACCCATGGCTTATGTTCTTTATATCTGACTAGTGATGCATTAGCGATAGGCAGTTTATTATTATGAACATAAATTACATACTGACCAGAGATGGCATTTCTAAATATGTAAAATTGATCGTGGTTGGTAACATTTTAATCCACAAAGCTCTGTCATGTTTCAGTGGAATTTGTTTCTAAATGAGTCTAAAAGTAGTCCGGTCTTGTTGTGAAGCAGCATTTGGCAGACTTACAAAGGAAGATTGGATATTTTCGATGCTACCATTGTATAGGATAGGTGATAAGAAACGTTTCTTCAAGGTAGTTGGATTATTTGTATGTTTATGTGAGAGAAAGTTTACTCTTTGTTTCCTTTAAGAGTTAGACAAGATCAGTATTTTTGTGAACTTGTATTTGTTTTTATTTATAAATGCTGAATGCAGCAGGAACCAGGTAATTATTAAACTTGGCTAAGGTACTTCAAAAATAAGATATGCTATCATGTGTACCTTTTTGTCTGCAGGTCGTTATTGCTCTGGTTTGAGCTCAGCATGGCTGTAGTCATCCGTTTACTGGGGCTTCCTTTTATTGCGGGGCCTGTGGATGTTCGTCACTTCTTCACGGGATTGACTATTCCTGATGGAGGAGTGCATATAATTGGAGGGGAAGTTGGGGAGGCTTTTATTATTTTTGCAACAGATGAAGATGCAAGACGTGCCATAAGTCGTTCAGGAGGGCTTATCAAGAATTCATCTGTAGAACTCTTTCTTAGTAGCAAGGCAGAAATGCAGAAGACTATAGAAATGAAAAGAAGTGGTCACATAGGAAGAGGGCGACTAGGATCTGGGGCATCAGGGGTTGGCAGTCTATCTAATTTTATTGAGGCTATCAAGGAAGAAACAAGTAATTCTGGATATGGCCCTTCAATTAATCAAGATGCTGGATTTCATACTAATGGAACAGGACATGGTGATTTAAGGCCAAGAAAGACAAGGCCACTGAAGGCTGAGAATCCTTATTTGTTTCTACGAGGTTTGCCTTACTTAGTGAATGAAGATGATGTACGTGTCTTTTTCTCTGGTTTATGTGTGGATGGAGTGATTTTTTTAAAACATCATGATGGCCGAAATAATGGTGATGCCATAGTAAAATTTGCTTCATGTGTTGATGCTTCAGGAGGTCTTAAATGTCACAGAAGTTTTATGGGTTCAAGATTTATAGAAGTAATGCAAGGCTCAGAACAGCAGTGGATTGACCTTGGTGGTAATGCAGTTAAGGAGGGTGATGTTCCTGTGAGATCTGAAGAACAGTCTCCAAAAGGAATTAATGATAGACATTTTCGAAAATGGTCTCATTCAAAATCACCCAGAAGTACACGTTCTCGTTCCCCTCTTGGATTTTATGTTCACTTAAAAAATCTGCCCCTAAGTATTAACAAAAGAGATTTAAGAAATTTCTTTAGAGATACTGATCTGGCTAATGAACAGATTAGGTTTTTATATAAAGATGAAAGGAGAACAAGATATGCCTTTGTGACATTCAAGACTCTGAAAGACTACAATACTGCTCTGAGTTTACACAAGACTGTTTTACAGTATCGTCCAGTTCATGTTGATCCAGTTTCTAGAAAACAAATGCTGAAGTTCATTGCATGTTATGAAAAAAAGAGACCAGGATCTGTAGAGAAAGAGAGGCCTGGACATCTTTTACAAAAATACTCTCAACAGAACTACTCTGGCCAGAAGCTGTGCATATATATAAGAAATTTTCCATTCGATGTTACAAAAGTTGAAGTGCAGAAGTTTTTTGCGGACTTTTCTCTTGCTGAGGAGGATATTTACTTGCTTTATGATGACAAAGGAGTCGGTCTGGGAGAAGCATTGGTAAAATTTAAATCAGAAGAACAGGCTGTGAAAGCTGAACGTTTAAACCGACGAAGGTTCTTAGGGACAGAGGTATTATTAAGACTTATATCTGAGGCACAAATGCAGGAGTTTGGTGTAAATTTTCCTTTGACGTCTAGTGAAGAAATGCAAGCCTCTTCACAGTCATGTGATAGAGATGACCCTTCCCATTCATTTGAATCAAAAGACCCACTAGTATACCCATTTGGTTCTTCTGAAAACTTTAGACATCACCTAGAGGACTTTAGGCAACTGGATAACTTTAATCATCCCCTCGAGGATTTCCGACACCCTGATAGGTGCCTTCCAGAAGACTTTAGGCACTCCCCTGAGGACTTCAGATTCCCTTCAGAGGACTTCAGACATTCCTCGGAGGACTTCAGGTTTCCTCCAGAGGACTTCAGGCGCTCCCCGGAGGATTTGAGGCACCCTCGGGAGGAGCACTTCAGACGACCTTCTGAGGAGGACTTTAGACACCTAGAAGAGGATTTTAGGCACCCTTTGGATGATGGTTTCAGGCACCCTAGGGAGGAGGACTGGAGATGGCATTTTGAGGAGGACTGGCCTCGGCCACTGGAGAAGGATTTCAGGCAGTTCCCTGATGGAGATTTTAGACAGCCACCTGAGGAGGATTGGAGGCGGCCACCCGAGGAGGATTGGAGGCGGCCACCGGAGGAGGGCTGGAGGCGGCCACTGGAGGAGGGCTGGAGGCAGCCGTCTGAAGAAGACTTCAGAGAGTTCCCAGAGGAGGACTTCAGGCAGGCCCCTGAAGAAGATTTCAGGCATTCCCCTGAAGAGGACTTCAGGCGATCACCCCCAGAGCATCTCAGGAGGCCACCCCCAGAACATCTCAGGAGGCCACCCCCTGAGCACCTTAGAAGGCCACCCCCAGAGCATCTCAGGCGGCCTCCCCCAGAGCATCTCAGGAGACCACCCCCGGAGCATCTCAGGCGGCCCCCAGAGCACTTCAGGCGGCTCCCCCCGGAGCACTTGAGGAGGCCACCCCCCATGCACTTCAGGAGGCCACCCGAGGAACATTTCAGGAGGCCACCCCCAGAACATTTCAGGCACTCCCAAGAGGAAGACTTCAGGTACCCGCCAGAAGAAGACTTCAGGGGCCCTCTAGATGAAGACTTTAGGCAACCTCCTGATGAAGACTTTAGGAGTCCCCAGGAAGAAGATTTTAGATGCGTTTCTGATGAGGACTTCAGGCAGCTCCCTGAGGAAGACCTCAGAGAAGCTCCGGAGGAGGACCCAAGACTGCCTGACAATTTTGGACCTCCCAGTGAAAATTTTAAGAGTCCACCTGATGATTTTAGAAGTCATCGCCCTTTGGTGAATTTTGGTCGCCCAGAAGGTGGCAAGTTTGACTTTGGAAAGCGTAACATGGGAAATTTTCCCGAGGGGAGATTTATGCCTGATCCCAAATTAAATTGTGGTTCAGGTAGATTAACACCTATCAAGATAATGAATCTTCCATTTAAAGCTAATGTTAATGAAATTTTAGACTTTTTCCATGGCTATAGAATCGTACCTGATTCAGTTTCAATACAGTATAATGACCAAGGATTACCTACAGGAGAAGCCATTGTTGCTATGATAAACTATAATGAAGCTATGGCTGCTATTAAAGATCTAAATGATAGGCCTGTTGGCCCCCGCAAAGTTAAGTTAATTTTGCTTTAGACAGCCTTTCTGAATTCAGAGTTACCTTCCCACAGTATTGATGCGTAAAATGCATTTGGTTTTAAAAGTGTTTATTTCTAATTATCTAATGAAAAGAATCATTTTGATTTTGACTGTGAAATAGAACAAATGTAAATAGTAGAATGTGAATCTGGTTTTTCTTTCGCTTGCAAATTACCGTTCATTTTCTAATTTAAAATTATATATGCTTTTTTTTTTTTTGACAGAAGAAAGAAAACTTAATTCCTTGAGCACATTAGTTTTTGTTGATGTCATGGGTAAACCTCAAGACTTGTGTAAATTTATTGTTGTATTTGGGGGAAGACAAATTTTACATTCACTTTTATTTCATTCTGTAGTGTACATCTTTTACTCAAACTGTATAAGGAGATGGTTAGTAACTGTTCAGGTTTGGCATTTTCATTGGTACCCGCCTGCAGAATTCTTGTCTTCCTCCTCCTCTATTACTGTCTTAAGTCTCTTGTTAATTACAATTAGATCAAAATGGACAGACTGTGAGCTTGATATTTACTTGTGTAAAAAGCTTAGGGAATTCTTTTCATGTTCATAACTTTACAAAGTTTTATAAAAATAAAACATTGCAACTGAATAGTACACCTAATTAACTTGTATTTGTATAAAAAAGAATTTTAAGTTTGGGATTGTGAAGTTTTGCAACAGCCATATTAAACAATATGGAAGAGACCAAACATTCTATAATAATAATGTATAGTGGTATACTGTGATTTCTTCAACCTCTTATTTACCCATTTGATAAGATTAGCACAAAATATTCAAAAGACAATAAAATAATATAGTGCAAGGGAACTCTCAAGCTTATGCTGAGAAGACTGACAAATACAGTTTGTTTTTCTAGGACAATTTACTGAAAAAAATATACAACTTGTGTGTTTTATTAGGTTCTCATTTTTTCTTCAAAACTTTGTATCCATTTAAAGACTCCGTAACTAAGTATAATAACACTATGAGATGGAATTTTGACTACTGTGATATTCAACATTTAGTGTAGTTTGCAAGTGAATTTGATTTTTTATATTCATAACAATATTAATAGCTAACATTTGTTGGACACTTATTATGTGCTCAGTAGGCATAGTCTCAATATCCCCTTCTAAGTGCAGAGTTTATTATTTGCCTGTATTTCACAAATGAGATAAAGAGTTTAAAGAAGTTAATGAATTTGTCTAAAGTTAGTTTGTAAACCATAGAGGCGGTTTTAACCTAGACAGATCACTGACTCAAATTCATGCTCTTTTTTTCTTTTCTTTCTTTTCTTTTCTTTTTTTTTTTTTTTTTTAACATTTTTGCTATAGGATATATACACTTGCTGGGGGGGGTGGGGGGTTGGAGGTCAGGAAGGGTTTGGGAGGAAAGAGAGTAAGTAAGAAAGTAAATCCTCAGGGAGGATGGCCACACTGCAATCCCTTCATTCTCTTTTTGGGATTTGGGCATGCACACACACATGCCCAACATGTCTCTCAATTGTCTCTCAAGTCACCAGGTCTGGGACTTGAACTGTACAGGTAGCTGGGTGGAATCCAGCCAACTTAACTATTATGCCACTGGCTAGCCCTCAAAATTATACTCTAAAATGTTTGCTGCCTCACTTGTTAAATGGAATTTTTAATTTTAGTAAGATCATGCTAAAAGTATTTTCAAGGGGAGATGTATTTTCTTGCCTTTATTGTTGCTTTAAAAATGGCATTTAAAAAGATAAAACTTTTTGCTCAAGAGAAAGTAACTTAAACATTTTTTATATATCTAGAGTTTCTCTTGACATAGATAGTGGCTTCCAATTAAAAGGTGCTCATTTTGCCCAACATAATTTGACTTTGGCCTTTTATAGCTTATATAAAATACAGTTAATTTTCAGTTCTGTGATCCACAGATCTTTCTCCACATTGAATAAAATAAAAATGAAACTGAGTGTATGTATGATTTTAAATCACAGAAGTTAGAATACTTTGATATTACTCAGTACTAATAAAGTGTTTTGGGGCTAGTTTTCAATGATTTAAGGAAATCTAAGAGTCTAACTTAAGTTTCTATATGGGTTTTGTTTTAGTTTTTGTTTTTAAGTTTATTCTCCCAGTGAGAGAGAGAAGAGACACACAAATACAACATCCCTGCTCCCAAAGGATGTTAACACCCTAGTACATCCCAGCTTTAACCATCTTAGATCACAGGCACATGCATCTCTCTCTGGACAGGAACTAATAACCTTTCCATATGGGTCTGCCTTGAGCCTTGCATTTTACCGCTGCACCACTGACCAGCCCTATGTTGGTTTTTAGTAGTGAATACCTTAGTAATGCTTATAGTAGAAGGAATAAACTGGTATACTTGGTTTAAAATAAAAAGCACTTCAACGACTTTAAGCTAGTAAGCTTATAAATAGCTAGTAATGTGATATTCTTATTACTTGGAATGTCCAAACTAAGCACAAAGGAAAAACATAGGAAGAAATTTGACTGTTCAAAGATTATAGATGGTTCAGATGCTTGAGGAATAATATGAAAGTTTTAAAGTACTTCTCAGCAGTAAAGCTTAGATGAAGCTTAAAATGAAAGATCACTTAATGTGGTAGTGTTTCTCAAACTGGGCTAGGATTGGATGGTAACAGATGAAAGGTCAGATAGTGTAAACATAAGCTTTGTCTTTTTAAATTAATTGATGTGACTATTACATTTTACTTTATAATATATCAGGGTTTAATATTTTTAACCTCATATAAACCTTTAAGAGAGCTGGCTGGCTGCTGGTTGGGAATCAGTTTTGTACATCTCTTTCCACTCTGCTTTCAGTCATAATGTCAATAAATTGGCTGTAGTGGGAGTAATTGTATCATGGAAATGGGTGCATGCAACAAATCAGGGCATTTCCTTTCCTGTGCACCCCACCCCCTAGTTATCTCTAATTTCAGACACTTAAGTTATAGTGTGCTAAATCCTTCTGTACTTATCACCCAGGTACAGTGATTTTCTGCTAGTTTTTTCCCTCTCTTCCCTACCCCTAGATATATCAGGTATACTCAATGCATGTTGATTTTCCAGTGTTATTCCCAATGATATTTTGTCATAAAGCCAAGCAATTTTGTCTAGGAGGTATCTGGAAAATATAGATCACGTCTACAAAGTAAACTTAATCCCATAACCAAGAGATAGGTAAAAATCATATTAGGAATGTACTTCTATCAATTTACTAAGAACACTACCAAAAGCAGTGGTCTTTATTTATCATCTATTAAGCGGTGACTCTTCTTCCACTGTCTCTACATTAAATATTAGTTATTGTTTACTAGTACATATTCATGATCTATAATTATATATGAATTAACTATCATTTAATTCGTATAATCTTGGAGATAAATGAAAACTCTTCAGACTAATCTATTAATTTTTTTTTTTACAGTATGGAAGCTAAGATTTTTACATTTTTAAAATATCATCTCTTTAATGGTTACCTAAGTACCCACATAATAGCCTTGTTTTTGCTTGGTCCACAAAGCATAAAAATATTTATCATCTGATTCCTTAAGATAAAAAGAAGTTTGCTAACCTAAGTCTGCTCTAACTAATGGAGCTTTACATTGGTAAAACTATATTTTCATGTATAGTATTCCTTTTGTTCTTATACTGTTTCTTTAAGGAAGGCTGAGCATATTTTATTATTTGAGAATTATTTGTTGTTTACTTATGTATTAGGCATTGTTTTACCTTAACTGATGCTAAAGGAAGTAAGTTACTATTTAGTAAGTTGCAAGTAAAATACTATAGCCTGTTTTCCGTGACCTCAACACCAAATTAAATAATGACTGAGAAAATAATAAAAATCCAATGATATCTGAAAGTTATTAAGGCTGTTCATTTATTTAGGGTTTTAAAATGTTTTGAATGTTTTATTTAAAAAGTACTGAAGTAGTTTTATCACTTAGGATTATTCTTAGGCAGTAGTACTTTGTTAAGAACAGAAGCATGAATGCAAAGTCTGAAAAACTTTCCAGAAAGTCTTTATTCTTCTCTTATGAATAAATTGATCGATCTGGTTATCCCAAATAATTTCTACAAATTTCTTTTTTTTTCTTTTGCCTTACTGGGATCCATGAAAAAACAAAAGTTGTAATTTCTTGCCAAAAGAATCAAAAACATCAGATACACTGAAAGGCCCTGATTAAATTGTTTTGTATTTTTAGGAACAAAAGTATATACCATTTTATTAACTAAATGGTAGCATGGTAAAATTTTTATAGAATTTTTAATCATTTATGGTATTTCATGATGAGACAACATTCCAACAAATTATTAGCTTTCTAGAAGTTGTAGTACCATATATAAAGCCTTAAGATGACAGTTTTAAAATCAGAATCAGGTTGTAACTTTTTTCAAACTGAAATTTCTGCTTTATGTGTATTTATAAAACACTGATTTCTTAGTGTCCCACTACCTTTATTTTATTATACTTAATGTTTGAAAATAAATTTACATATCAAATGTTGAAATATAAGGTTTTAGTAAAATGAAAAAAGAAAAAAAATTTTACTTAAGGCATCATGGAACAGAATTTGTATGTAATCAGAACTACTATATAAGACCCTTTTCTGGTGATGAAAGTATAAACTCCTCACTTCACCTAAAAGAAGCGAAACGGAATTGTTAGATCTTGGGTTTTGTTATCTACTTAACTATTGCAAATTCAACTAATTATATAGTACATTAATATGAAATACTTTGAAATACATAATCTCTTAAAAAATGGAACATATACAAAAAGATCATATACTATCAGGTAGGACATTGAAATGACTGTTGTATAATTTTTTTTAAACCTTCATTTTTGGTCAGTGTAATTTCTTTTAATTATTTTTCCATTTGTAGGATTTCATTTTGAGGTTTAATATATCAAGCAAGTATAAAGTTTTACAGTTTAGTAATCCTGTATTGAGAGTCATTTAAGATGAAAATGGAAATGTGAAGTTTACTTAAGAAAATTAATTTTCTTCTTCTGTAACATCTAACTCTTCATCATCATCATCATCATCATCATCATCTTCTGCTTGTTGATCCTTTCTTATTCGACAGGTAGATACCTGTTAAAAATAAACACATTTTTAAAAATAAAAAATACTAACTTAAAAAAATGTTTATATGCTTGGTATCTTTTTATATGATTTATGAGATAGGGCACATAAATATTTAAAAACCATCTTTATGTAATTATAGTAATGAAAATTTTCTATGAACCATATATACATATATTTTTTAATTTTTAAAAAATTTCTTCCATGAGTGAGAGACAGCACACCTAGATGGCAATTCACTACCCTTCCTGCCCACCTCCCCTCCAAATCAGCCAGCCCTAGGCCATGGACACTTGCATGCCCAGCATGGGCTTTCTGAATATAGAAGAAATGAGAAGACAGGCTCTTTCTCCTGAGATCAGTGCATCTGGATCTATGGTAATGTCAAGCAAAAGTATTTTTTAGTTACAATTTCTAATGCTTGATACTGAGATTTAAACAACTCGTCTTTAGAATTTATGCTTTATATTATACCCGACAAATCTGTATTAGTTTTCTGTCTTCTACCCCTCCTCTCGTAGGTGTTCTGCTTTAGAGAGAAATATGTCATTACAAAAGATACTTCATATAAGCTGCACCTAGTGCAACCTTCCAGCATTTCACATAACAGGAAATAGGCCCAGAGAAAGGTAAATCACATGAGGGTATATAATTGAAGGAAAGTATTTTTAATTCCAGAAATTCCAAAAGTAGCAGTTCAAAATCCTTTAAATTATGGTTTCTAGCTCACCTGTCCTGTTCCAGATACACATTTAGTTGACAGTGATCTCTGAAGAGGTGACTTTGAATTTGCTCTTACAATATCTAAACGAGATGAGTAATCTTGTGGATACAGAGAATTTCGGAAAACCTATAGCAATGATAAGACATTATGAAGTAGTCACTAAATGAAAGTCTAGAGAGCTGAATTCTTTTTTTCATAAGCACTCTCTAAAATGGACAAAATTCCAATTACTTTAAAAGAAAAAACAAAAATAGGCAAAAAAAATAGTGTTAGCTAGAAAGATAAAAGCTATTTGAAACATGTAAGATGATGAAGATGTGAGCAGTAATTAATCACAAAGCAACCACTTGAGTGCTTTGGTAGGCAAACTGCAAAAATTTGTTCTATCCTCAGTTCTTCTATCAGTTGAACTTTACTGTAGTACTGCTCACTTAAGGGCAAACTGGAGCAGTGCACTATAATTCAGATTCCAACCTCATTAGGAACTGGAATGCCGTGACTTGTCAGTTGTCTCTTCTTAAGGCACTACTTCCCAATCTTAAATCACTCCTAAGCTTTCCCGGCTCTATATTTTCTCTTCTCCTTTCTGCAACATACTAAGTAGGTTAGGTGTGAATTTCATAAATTTCCCTTTTCTTCACCTCTACCTCTTTACCCCTCCTTTTCTTCCTCCCCCTCTTTAAAACAGATGCTATTCCAATTCCAGTTTTCATTACTCCTATATCCAAAACTTCAAGTCAACAAACTTCCAAGCTTCCATTTTTTTCAAAAACTTTCAGTTTCCACAGGTTCCCTTCCCTGTGAAACAAGCTCAAAGCCAGTCTTTTTTTACCTAAAGGTTTAATTTTGCTCCTTATAAATTTCAAATATTCCATTTTATCACCATTAATTTTTCTTTAAGCTACAACTGGGCTTTCATCTTTCATGAAAATTGCTCTTGCTCAAATCACCGAAGTCTTTTTGCCTTTATCCTTCCCTCATCCTGAAAATTCTTCCATCATCACCAGGCTTTTGTCCTACCTGCCCTGTTCACATCTCTTTTCTACTATTTACACATAAATATTTTAAGAGTTTCCTGTAGACCATTTTAAAAAATGCTTTTTTGAAAGATCTTAATCTATATATTTAATGGCTAATCTCCAAATAATCTATATATTCCATATACTTCTGTCAGCCATATTCATGCTCTCTACTATCTTCTTCTAGACCAGCAATGTCCAATAGAACTTTATGGGATGATGGAAATACTTGCTCTTTTGTGTTGTCCACATGTAAGTGCTAAGTACTTGAAGTGTGTTTCATGTAGTTAAGGAACTGAATTTTAGCTTTAATTAATTTAAAGAGCCACATGTGTCTTGTGGCTACTGTATTGGACCAAGTACTCTAAATTTGTACAATGACAAACATTCTCTTAAACCTAGTATATCAAGCTATTTGTAAACATGGACATTCTCCTTAAATGTCACACCCAAGGTATCTGTTTTCATTTGTTGACTTTACACATTTCTTTATGGCTTAAACTCATTTTGCTAAAGACCAAAATATGTTACTTCTCTATTCAGTTACTTTTTGTGTGTCTTGACTGCTCAGATTACAAATACTTTAGGTGACAACCAAGGCTTAGGATACTCAAACCTATCCACTTTTACACACATGCGTGTATATATATATATATATACACACACCCACTGCCTTCGCAATGCTGGTTCCTCAGTTTGGAATTCTAGCAAGCCTACTTGTTCTTTTTTTTTCTCTTCTCTTTTCTTCTTTTCTTTCCTTTCCTTTTGCTATAGGGTACGTGCACTCACCAGAAAGAGAGAGACAGAAAGTGAAAAATCACCACCCAGGGGGGATGACCACACCACAATCCATTCTCCTCTTGGGATCTTGGGCACACACACACGGGCCCAGTGTGAGTTTAGGCCAACGGGTCCCAGACTTGAACTGCAGTCGACCACATGGGAATCCAGCAACATAGCCATTATACCAACTGCTGGTCCCAAGCCTACTTGTCCTTTAAGAAGTCACATGCCATTTTCTGTTCTCCCCTATTCTCTAGTCAGTAGCTCCTATTGTTCATACCCTGAAGTACAGCTCGTATCTGTTTTATAACTGATGACATCTGTATCCACAAATAGTCTTAAATTCCTTAAGAGCAAGGGACCCTGTTTTCGTAATTCCTACTAGCTTCAAATAGTAACCTGGTAAATGTTAATTTAAATCCCCATGTTGTGGGGAAAAAGACACAAACAGGGACTATACTTTTTTTTTTTTTTTTTTTAAGTTTGCTAAATGTAAACTAACACACTCGCCAGAGAGAAAGTGAGAAGTGAGAAAGCACTCCTTGGGGGAGATGGCCATGCTGCAATCCCTTCTTCATTCTCTTGGGATTTGGGGCATGTGCACATACATGCCCAGCATGTTTTTCAAGCCACTCAGTCCAAGACTCCAACAACCCAGTTGGCCATGTGGGATCCAGCCATCTTAACCACCACACCACCAGCTGCCCCCTATACGTTATTTAAATCTTAGTGAACTGCAATACTCAAGAGGAATCAAGGGTTAAAATTTAGAAGGTGAGATTTATGTTTTAGGATATTTCTGGGATGCTAACGAGGTTAGCAGTTGGTGCCAGACATCAAGCACTATATCCCAATATAAAAACTAGATCAATCAACTTGTATTTAGAGGGGCTATAGTTTTGTTAAAAAGCTTTTCTAGCACTTTTTTCAAGTAGAAAGTGGGAGACTATGCAACTCAGGATAAGTCTAAACTAGTTAAATATGTGTTAAGATTAAAATTTTACTGAAAAACAATAGCTTTCCAATAATATTAATTTATTGGCAATAATACATTTTCCAGTATGGTCCAAGATCTTTTCCAGGAGTGAATCTCCAAGATCTAAATATGCTTGAAGTGATTGCACAGAGGCGATATTTTGAAGGGGTAAATAGGCCTGACAGTACTTTTTAAGTGAAGAACAAATAAGGTAAGATGGTTTGTGATAGAACTACAGTGCCTAATGCAAAATATTTGCTGTACTGGAATAAATCTCAGTGGTTCTTACAAAGGATGGACTACCTGGAAGACTAGCAAATTATTTCTCTGTTCCTCTGTTTATTTTCTTGTCTCCAAGAACTTGTACTTACAAGATCCTTCCTCCTGGTACCTACTGTCTGTTATAATTTTACTTCCCCTGGTTTCACAACTCTTTCCAGACTGCTCTCCACAGTTGTATGGCATTTTAATAACAGTTTATACCATGTTTCTTGAACACGGGCTTGTACTCTGTGCTATTTTAAATACATGTTCTTTATTCACAATAGCACTGCCTCAGGACCTTTGTATATCTATACTTAATGCCTGAAAGTTTTTTGCCAAGTATCCTACTCATCCTTCAAATTTCTAATTAAGAGTCACTCTTTTCTAATTAAGAAGTTACTCCAATTCTGCAGACTATTTCTAATACTCTATCACACACATAACATATTATTTATTAATTTTTATGGGACTGGTTGCATAACACTTAAATAGTTACACAGTACATTTTTTTAAATGTGTAACCTCCCTAGTAAATTTTTAAATTCCTGCTTGGACAATTTGGACCATTTCTAACTTACAATGCCAAATCCTTAGTATTTAAAATGGTGCCTGGCATATAACAGGTGCTCATCAAATAGTTGTTGAGGTAAATACTTTTGAGTCCATTTTGGAGAGGAGGAAGCTGTTGAATGAAGTTAACTTCAATATTACTGCACTAGAAAGAGGGAAAGTTGATACTGCAAAACACATTATTACACAGCCTAGAGATGTTTAGTTTTTCATGTATCTCTTCTCCCACAAACTACCTAGCTAGCTGATTAAAAAGAGCAGTGGTTAGAGAAGCAAAAGAAGTGGTATGTCAAAAATGTTATCTAGGACCTCTGGAATGAGAAGGAAAATCTTGAGGACTAACAGACTTGAGTGAACTTTATTGTCAGATATCATATGGCATATCAAGGGGATCGAAAGAAGGAAATGGAAATACTTATAAAGGGTACTGTAGTCTTGTAGAAAAAATGAGGGATAGCTTTTAAACCTGCCATTGAGTGCAGTATTGTTTCTTGATGAAATTATTACTTTTTAAAGAATCATTCTCTGGAAGTCTGGTGCACAGGATGAAAACACAAGTGTAGTAGACTTCTGGGTTTCACTCCCAACTCTGCTACTTATGAACTCTGGGACCTCTGGGAAGTTTCTTTATTTTTTTTTCTTTTTATTCCCCCTTTTTAATTTTGTTTTCTTTCATATATTCAATAACATTATTTGGCTTACAAAATGGATATTTCAACAGGTGAACATTTCTCTCTAGTACAGTTGATAAAACTATAAATTATCTTCAACAGATAATACCACATTTCTTTGTCCCATTAATGCTTTGCCTCCCTATTTTTCTTCAAAATGTCCTTCCTCAGACCCTCCTCTTTCACACACACTATATCTGGTATTTACATCTATATACTGTGTTTCTATATCATTTAGTCAATCAGTTTCAGTCATAAGAGTGCAGCCACTTGGTATATATTAAGTGGGGACATACAACGCCTCTCCTTCATAGCCTGGCTTGCTTCACTCAGCACTAAATCTTCCATATTATTGTGCTTCAGTTTTCTCAAAGTTAACAAGAAGATTAAATCAAAGTAAATGAGATTATTAAAATAACTAACATAGTTACAGTGCATCAGTAGCTGGTCCCAAATCACTATATAGATATTTACTATTCTTTTACAAATGACAGGTAAAAGCTTGATAATCTGTTTTAAAAATAGGATATGAAAAAGCTGAAAATTAAGAAACCTTAAGCTTTACAGTATTTGGAATGAAGTGACACTTAGAAAGTCACCTGTTAACAAAACATAAATATAATCATGTATGTGTAAGGGGACTTCAAGAGGTTCATGGAAAACGTGTATTATACAAAAACTACACCTGGATTTCTAAAAAATTTATGCCAGAATAAACTCATACTTTAATTCTATTTTCCATGAACTTGTTGAAGTCCACTTGTACAAGTGACAAAAAACTCTTAAATCAGATTTTGGCATTGGAAACATACATACACATCCTAAAACATGTACCTTCTTCATTTTTGTTAAGCTGTCTCCTGGTTTTACTGAATTAACTTTCCTGGAACTAGTGGAGTAATGGGACCAGAAGATGCAGAGAATCTTTTTATTGGGAGGTAAAGACAAAAAAAGATGGGGGGGAGAATCTTCAAAATTGTCAAATGGCAGATACTTCTATCACTAATTTAGAATTCTGATTGTCTTGAAGGTACAGACTTTTTTTTTCATGTATGTTAGCATTAATATTAGGTAATATTGAAGTATATAATTTGAGATAATATTTAAGTATGTAATTTGAGATAATATTTAAGTATATCTTGACTAATCTATTTCACAAAAAGACTTTTGTGCCTTTTTTCCCCCTCTTTTTAGAAGGTAAGAGGGTAGGACATTTATTCTTCATATATGCTTATTAAAAACTAGGCTGGATGTTAGCTGGCCAATCAGATTTATTTACATTTAACTAAAATTAATATCAACATGAAGCAAGCCTACAAACATATACTTGTATTTATTTCATAGCTTGGTGATTTAGTTATATAAAACCAGTTAGGGGCCAGCAATTAGCATAATGGCTATGTCGCTGGACTCGCATGTAGTCAACCGCGGATTCCCATGTAGTCAACCGCGGTTCGAGTCCTGGATCCGGTGGCTTAAAACTCACGCCGGGCGCGCGTGTGTGTGTGCCCAAGATCTTGAGAGGAGAATGGAGGAGAAGAGATTGCAGTGTGGCCATCCTCCCTGGGGGGAGATTTCTTGCTTTCTGTCTCTCTGTCTCTCTCTGTCTTTCTGGAGAGCACATACGCCCTATAGCAAAAACCTCTCCAGAAAAAAAAAAAAACCTTGATTCTGCTACATACTAGTCAAGTGACCACAGACAAATTATTTAAAGCCATTATGCCTATTTATATAGTTACAAAATGAGGATGATAATCCCACATTTCTCACAGGATTGTGTGAAGACTAAATAAGAAAAAGTACATAAAGTTTGGTCATTTTGCATGGCATAAACACTCAAATGTTCAAATCAACAAATTATAGTTGTTATTGTTAGTACAGTTTATTGGGTTATTTCACCATCAAAATGATAAACATATTTCATATAATGGATTTATTTAGATTGTATTTTATTAGTTAATAAATTACTTTTTACCATGGTTAATTTGAAAAGTTAGAAAATAAGTAGAGAAATCACAAAAATTCAGCTATTGTGGGGCCAGCAGGTGGTATGGTGGTTAAGGCACTGGATTCCTACACAACCAACAGCAGTTAAACTCCTGGACCTGGTGGCTTGAAAATCATGCCAGGTGTGTGTGTGCATGTCTCAAATCCCGATAGGAGAATGGAAGAGAAGGGAGGGAGGAGAAGGGATTGTGTTGTGGCCATTTCCCCAGGGGAGGGGGGATTTCTTACTTTCCTTCTCTTTCTCAGTGAATGTACATGCCCTGTGGCGTGTGTGTGTGTGTATTTTTTAACCCATACAAGCTAATACTATCTTAAAAGAGATAATAGAACATGTTAACATTTCCATATTAACAAAACAGCTGAGCTTAGAAATAGTCCTACCTCTAAATCTTCATCCTCATCAATCTTTTGTATATTTTGGTAGGCAGCAGTGTAGACCTCTAAAGCCTTGCCGTGAAATAACATTTCAATTGTGATAAATTCTGAAAATATAGTCTAAAAAAGCAAAGATTCTAATTTAAACAATTATTTAAATTGGTTTATCAATTTAGAAAATTTCTTCACTACAGTCTTGGCATTTAATGACATACATACAGAGTAATCTGTTTTTCTACAGAGCAAATAAAGTATGAAAGATAACTGAAATAAGTTTTGAGGATCTTTTACAGCAAACATTCAAATTATATGAAATATTTCCAGAGTCACCACCATGTCCCTCTTACTTTTTTTAGTTAGTTCTCTTTATGCTAGTGATGGACATTTGTAATTAAAAAGAAAAAATGACTAAAAATGTGTGCCACTATGTACCCTGATATACAATCTATTAAGTATTAGAGCAGTTCATTTCTAAAGCTGGTATCTTAACAACTCCATCTGATGTTTAGACAACATTTTTAGACAGAAATTATATTCCATCATATTTCTGACTATATGTTACTTGTATTTTTTAACCATAAAGGAATTATTTGTAATAATGATATTCCTACTACTGATAATAATAGCATGAATTTACATAGAGACTTGTAGTTTACAAATATTTTGTCTTGCTCACTGTTGCTTACAGCTAGAATGTTGAGACATGGATCTGGTTCTAAGGCTATAAGGTAATAGTTCTTGTCTACTAAGAACTGTAAGTTATAGCTCTTCTAAAGTTCTAGTCCTAAAGTCATAGCTCTTTTCCACTGTATTATGCTCTTCTTGTTGGAATCGATTATTTCCTTTAAACAATTCAGGTAAGCTCTATGAGCATGAAGAAACTATAAAAAAGATCATGAATAGAATAAATGAAGATGTGCATGATGGTCTAAGCACGGATGAAGTAATTGGTAGGTAGGGAAA